CTTAGGTTGTGAAGAGCCGTCCATCGCTCCTGCTTACAAACCACTTACAAACCACGCGAAGAGAGCGGTGATGCAAGTCGTCTTGAATGCATTGCGACAAAGGTCGCGGCAAGCGTGGATGCTGAACACTAAAAGTAGAGCACTGTAGTGTCGAGTCCAAGCCGTCGTCGTCGTCTGTGTAGCTGAAAGACCTCTGACCCAATACAGTATGCAACGGTCTGGGCTGCAGTATAACAAAAGAGCGCCGTCAGGGCTTTACCGGCATTCATATACATCTTCAAGCCCGGGGTTTATTAATACGTGCTGCAGGTAAGCTCCGAACGCTGGCGTCGTATCCACCAACATATATTTGCAGCAGAAACCACAGTGCAGCAGCACAATAAGATACCCATCTCGTTGGCAGAGGCATGGCTATGTGCCGTCGGTCGGTTGTCGGTCGGTCGCTCGAGCGGCTGGAGCAAGAAGGCTACATCGATAGATGGTCATACGCAGGACGTACCTCGATGGAGCAATGGCAGCGTAGCATCGTCATGATGGCGCGTCTGTCGCGCAGTTGCGGCTGCCTTCGATCCAGTCTTTTCAGGTGATAGCCTCCAAGCCGTGTCAAAAAAGGGTGCGTCGACGCGGTGCCGGCTATTTGCTTGATAAAAATGGTGCATGGTTTACCCTCTTTTTGTCTCCAAGAGCGTCCACCAAGCCCTCTTTTAGGGCAAACTCATTGACTGCGGGCCAGGCTTGGTCGCCTGCTACAATCAATCACGCGCAAGACGAGCGAGGGCATGGAGATCCTCTCGATCGCGTTCGCCATCTCGGCCGCGCTGACGCTGCTCACGGTGCTCCTCTCGGGCTGGGAGGTCTGGACGCATCTGCTCTACAACCCGCAGGCCGGCATCCGCCGCTACGTGCTCCGCATCCTGCTCATGGTGCCGATTTACGCCGTGACGTCGTACCTCGCGCTCACGATCCCCGAGTACAAGATCTACTTTGAGACGATCCGCGACTTTTACGAGGCCTTTGCTCTGCACTCGTTCTACTACTTTATGATCGAGTTCCTCGGCGGCCAAGAGGTGCTCGCGCAGCGGCTCCGCAGCCACAAGCACGACGCGCACCACGTCATGGGCTTCCAGTGGTGCTTGAGCACGTGGAAGATGGGCCCGCAGTTCGTGCGCATGAACACGCTCGGCATTTTACAGTACATCCCGTGCAAGATCTTCATCACGGTCACGACGTTTGTGAGCATCATCTTTGACTTTTACGGCGAGGGCCAATATACCAACCCGCTCGTCGCGTACGGCTGGCTCACGCTCATTCTGACCGTGTCGCAGACGTGGGCGCTCTACTGCCTCGTGCTGTTCTACCACGGCTGCCTCGAAGAGCTCGCGCCCATGAAGCCGTTTCCCAAGTTTATGGCGATCAAGATGATCATTTTCTTCACGTTCTGGCAGAGCTGCACGATCTCGGCGCTCGGGAAGGCCGGCGTCATCTCCGAGTCGTGGCACATTCGCTGCAAGATCAACGAGTGCGACTTGATCACGGGGATCTGCCACCATGAAGAGTGCTGGGAGACAGCCGAGATTGGCGCCGCGCTCAACAACTTTATCGTATGCGTCGAGATGCTCCTCTTTGCGGTCGTGCACCATTATGCGTTCAAGATCGACGACTTCCTCCGCATGGAGCGCGAGAAGAACAATGAGATCACCAACAACGTCAAGAACGGGATGCTCGGCAACTTCCTCGACGTGATTTCGATCACGGACGTGGCCAAAGACATCCAGTACTCCAAGATGCAGCTCCTCACCGAGAAGCAGCGCCTCGCACTCGTCTTTGAAGAAGAAAAGAAGAAGCGCAAGGGCGGCGTCCACGCGAACGAGATCGCCGAGCGCTCGCTGCATCTCGAAGCCAGCGGCGTCAAGCAACCGCTGCTCGCACCCGTTGCCGCTGCCAAGCAGCCGCCCCGGCGACCGATGGCACCGATCGTGACGAAGGACGAGGCCCGCAACCGGCTCTCGATGCTGTATGAAAACTTGTCCCACAAAGACTCGTTGGAGTAGGGAACGACGTGGTCTGCCTCCTCCTCCTTGCTATCTGGTCAATATACCCGTCGTTGCTCGACTTCTATGGCATTTTGCTCCCTGCGTCCATGCTACGTCCCTGTGCCAAGTGCATAGGGAGAGGAATATCTACAGTCATACCGGACTACTGTCCAGGAACCCTTGACGCTACATGGTTCTCTCACCAGCTCCCGTCCTTATGCACAGGATCGCATCGAGGTATGACACAACACAAGGGTGACACGGGGTAAATTATACGGTGTGGACGATCAATGGTGCTGGCTCGACGGCGAGGGCGGCGTCGCGTGGTGATGGTGGTGGCTCGTACTGCTGCTGCTACTAGAACTCGAGCTGCTTTTGGTCGAGTTTTTTCGGTGCGGCGTCGACTTTGGCACGGGCGCTTGCGGAATGAGGTCGCCCCTCCGGAACCGCATCGTCACGGGGCGCGTCACGACCGTGAGGGCTTGAATGCACTGGTCAAACGGCAGGCCGCGGAGGTCCGTGTCGCCAAGATGCACGAGGATGTCGCCAAGGTGCACTTGCTTGAGGTGCGGCGGGCACACGACGTCGTCCGCGTTTTGGTACTCCATGCGCGAGACAAATGGTGCGTTCGTCATCGGGTGCGCCGAGAAGAGGAGCCCGAGGCGGCACTTGTCGGGCCACTCGAGGACGTACTCTTGCCGCGCCGGTGTGTGGCTGCTACTGCGCGAGCTCGCGGGGTACACGGGCTTGGCCGGGCGAAGAAAGCGCAGCACGACCGGCTTGGGCATCGTGGCCAGCATCGCAAGCGTGTCGTTGAGCTTTTGCTGCGGCGTAAACGGAATCCCATTGGCCCCTAATCATCGTCGCCGTGAAAAGAGCTGCAGAAGGAGCGGTGTGTACCGAGAAGGATATCGCCGAGCGCCATGCGCTTGGTATTGTCGTTGTTGCCCGTGACACGCGAGACAACCGCGCGTCGCGACTCAGGGTGCGGCTTGAGCGTCACGCCAAGCTCTTGGCCCGCACTCCACGTAATCTCATACTCGAACGAGATGCCACCTTTGCTCGAGGACTCGGGTGGGTGCGACGACGACCGCGCCACCTTGGCCGCGGGTACGTCCGAAGCAGACGCATTTGACGAAGGCGTCGTGGGCTCTTCTTTCGGTGGCGACGACCGGTGCGTCGACTGCGGCTGCACCGACAGTGGGTGTAGGACCGTACCGGATGACGACGAGGACGCTGGTTGCTTATAGTCGTCCATGTCGGCCATTTCCGACTTGCGAATCGCCGCGAGGTTCATCTTTTTTAGCTCGAGCGCAGCGGCAGCGGTGGCAGCAGCAGCCGCCACAATTGCAGCGTGGGCCTTGTCCAGCGACATGGCCGTCGACGAGGAAATCGGACCGTTGAGCACCGACGACGACGGGGGCGGGGGCGACGACAACGGTGGCGACGGTAGCGGCGGCGGCGACGAGATCGGCACCGGCGAGTCCAGCAACTGGTGCACCGTGCGGTGCTTGTCGGGTGTCGTCGCTGACGCAGATGGCTTTTGCCGCGGCGAGTGCAAACTCGACCGCTTCGAGCGCTCGGACGTGCCACTGATGGCATTGCCGGAGGTCGATCGGGTCGGCCGTGTCGAAGTTGCAGGCGTCGCGTTGGACGCTTGCTGTTGCTGCTGCTGTTGTTGTTGCTGGTGCTGCTTGCCAAAGAACCCCCGCGACGTGTTCTTCTCGGGCGTGATCGAATGGCGCTTCCCGCTGTCGTCCGGCTTGGTTTTGCCCATCTTGACAGCGTCTTTGAGCGCGGACGAGAGCTTGGTTGTGAACGGAATGCCATCGTGCTTGTCCTTCTCCTTCTTGTTGCCGTTGCTCGTGGTTGGCGGCGGCGGCGGGGGCACCGCCGTCGGTGGTGACGACAGCTGCTTCTTGGACGCTTGGAGCTTGAGCTCGATCGCCGCCTTTTCTCGCCGAAAGCGCAGCTGGAGCGGCCGCTTAGCCTGGCGCAGTGTTTTGAGCACTTCGTGGAACTCGATGCCATCGACGCAGTCGTCGTTGACCCACACGAGCTGGTCGCCGACGCGCATGCTCGCGCTCGTCGGTGACGACGGTGCCTTGCCTTGCTTGGCCTTGGCGGTTTTCGCAATGCCCACGTCGGCGACGATCGTGCCGTACGGAGCGCACTTGAGCGTAAAGCCGAGCGGCTGCTTCTTTTCCCAGCCTTGCTCGTACTCGTCCGGTCCAATCTCGGGTCGCAGCGAGACCTGGCGCAAGTCCGGAGCAAAGTACAAGGTCGCGGGCTTGACGACTTCGTGCAGCTGCTTGATCGCTGCGTTGAACGTGCCGCACGACGTGTCGTAGTTGCCGATCGAGATGAGGTAGTGACCGGGCACAATGTCTTTGACTTGGGCGGACCGGTTCTTCCCTGTGATGCGCGTCACCTGCGGGTACGGCACGTCCTTGTTGGCGACGAGACTCACGCCGAGCGGGCCTTCTTCCCAAAACACTGGGTACTTGTTGTCCATATCGATCGACGGCGCCTGGCTTTCCTTGGCCTTCTCTTCGGCCTGGAGCTCCTCGAGGCGCGCCGCAATGCGCTGCGCAATCGAGCTCTTCCACGCGTAGGCGCCCGTGCCCTTCGACGTGAGGTCCTTCTCCATCGGTGGTGCGGCCGAGTCGGATGCACGTCGGAACGTGAGCGCGGCGGGCTTTTGCGCGACCTTGAGGAGGTCGATGACATCTCGAAAGTTCATGCGGTGCGTATCTTGGTCGCCAATGCGCACGAGGTAGTCGCCAATCTCGACGAGGTGGATGCCGAGCATCGAGCTTTTCCCTGTGAGCTTGGTCACGGCGGGGAGGAAGAGCGACGTCATCTTGAGCCGAAGGCCGAGGAGGCCCTCTTCCCAAATGAGCTTGTACATGGCGCCGGTGGCCTGCGATAGCGTCGCGGCGCTGTGGTCGATCGAGACGCGGCGCATCGAGAGCGGGTCGCCTGTCGACACGGGCAGCTCGTACTCGTCGTCGGGGTTTTCAAAGTAGTTTTCAACCTCGATCGCCGGCGTGTCGCCGCCAAACTCAAAATTCAGGTCGCTCATGACCGAGTCGAGCGTGACCGAGTCGAACGAGTCGCGCGCCTCGTCGTAGAGGTCGTCGCCATGCCCACCGTCGTCGTCGCGGTCGTCCCGGTCGTCGGTGCCAAAGATGTCGCTGTCGCTATCGTTGAAGATGTCGTCGCTCATGCCCGAGAAGCGCTCGGACATCGGCGACCGATTGACGTCGTCGTCGCTGTCGTCAAGGTCGTCGAGGTCGTCCTCGGGGATGTGGATCGTGTTGCGCTCGATCTCTTGCTCGTCGTACTCGAGGTCGTCGCTGAGCCGCTCGACGTCGTCGGCGTCGCCGCCCGGCACGTCGAACTGGAGGCTGAAGTTCTCGAGGTCGGGCCCGCCGGACCCGAGGAGCGCGTCCATGTCGTACACGCCGCCCCGCTCCATGTGTCGGGACATGCTAAAGTCGTCCTCTTCCGTCCTGGTGGCTGATTCGGCTGTCTTACAAGCGCCGAGCGTAACCTATCCCGCGATTTCATTGGCCAAAATTCGCGTTTCCGCTCAGCAACACAAAAAAACACTTCTCCGCAGAGCGGGGCTAAACGCACGCCACCCGCGTCGTCGCCGCCGCCTCCGAGATCGCCAGGACCTCGATACCCTTAGTATGCTACTCAGTCGTATCGAAAGCGCTCAATGTCAATGCCGCTGGCCATGTCCTGTGCGCCCAGCAATTGGCAGATGGCGCGGGAACGGCAATGTCATGCAGCAGCAGCTTGAGCTTTGGGCAGCTGAGGTCGGATGGCTTGCACAGTAGGCGGCGAAAGCCGCTCGTGTGACGCCAATAGAGGATTCGAGAGCAGCACGAGGGCGACGTCGCCAGTCGACGCTGCTCGAGGCGGGCCGTTGGTCGCACCGGCGTATGCGCACTGGCTACTGCGATGAAGGCTGTCGCGCTTGTTGCTACGCTACGATTTTATTGGCACCACGTCCGCCCCTCGACCGTTCGGTAGGTCGGACAAAAGAGTCGTTCTTTCCGATCGACCGGCTGTTGGATAACATTTAGCAAGGTTAGAATCGCTATGTCTAGGACGCAAAGAGCGCTTTAGGCTGGCGGCATCGCATCGTCGCACGGGCGCAACGTGCTGTCCATTTCGTTCCAGAAGTGCGTGCCTGTGAACGTACTCGACGAGATGCAGCCGCCTAGTAGCGCCACGTAATGCTTGCCATTATGAAGAGGATGGGGAAGGGAAATGTACCGACGGGCTGGCCGGGAAAGCACTCGCACGTGCCGCCAAGCGACTTGGGCAGCTGGTCGGCGTCAATGTGCGTGAGCAGCGTCGGCTTGAAGTTTTTGCCCAAAATCGAAATCTTCTTGCGCGAATTTTCGTTGAGGAAGACCTCGATGAGCTTCCACGTGCCGTAAAAGAAGAGCGGTGCGTTCACGATGAAGACGTGGTTGAGCGTCTCGGGGTAGTGATCTAGGTTGTCCTTAATTCCATGCACCATCGCGCCGATGTGCACCTTGGTTGATGACGGCCACCTCCTTGATAAATTGATACACTACTTTTTTGAACGTGTGCATGCCAATGCCCGCCAGGTCGTAGATGACCGTGGACTTGACCATGGTCTTCCCGACGCGCTGGGCCTACGCGTCCATATTCGCCGATGCAGTCGTATTCTGCGAACTTACCGCTTTCGGGAAGGTGTAGTGCATTTGAAACTCGCACTTTTGAACGTGCGCGTTGAGGACGTCTTCGAACTTGCACGTTTTGGCCATCGCGTCCGTGTCGAGGTTCCCAATGTCCTCGATGAGGAGCACGTTGCCTTCTTTATCGACGCCGTGGCAGCCTTGCGGCTACAGTATTTGCGTGAATCGTCCGAGATAGTGTTGACACACGAACGAGGTAGCGGCGAATGACGTCGGTCTTGGCCTTGGGCACCATGAATTGCTTGGAGAGGCGCCCAATGTTGTTGTCTTCGCGCCAGCGCATGCTGTCTCGAATCATCTTGAGCGACTCGGCCTCGGTCGGGCGCGCCGCGAGGTACCGCGTGAGCATGTCATCAAGGTTGCCCAATGGCACAAGCCCCGTGGCTTCCATGCGCTCGAGCGAAAACTCGGCGAGGACGGAGGCCTTGAACGACGTGAGCGCCGCCGCCATTCTACTGCGTGTTGAAAAGTGGGACTCGAACGTCGACTGACCGGGTCGACTGCGCCATCTTGATGCGTGTACGTTGGCGTCAATATCCGAAACGGCCGTCAACAGCCAAGAGGATAAAGACCGCGTCAAGTGTCGCTTTTACTCCCAGTCGTCGGACTGACTTTAGCTGGGTAGTAGATAGCACAAAGCTTTGTGCACAATAGGACAATACCATAACGACGTCAGATGTACCTGACCGATGCGCCCATCGCAATATGATTCCCAAGCCTTGGATTAGGGAGCGGGCGGTAAATGAGAGCCTTTAGTCGTCGAGGTGAGAGCAACCAAGTTTAGCGTTCGAGAGCTGCCTCGCCTTGCGCGTCAAGGCTGCCTTGGTGTCGCGGTATCAGCAATAGGTGCACTCTGCAGATGCACTGCGAGTCTGGACGAGAAGTGTCCTTGTGTCGCTCGTGAGCAGTAATACAGGTATACACTGCATTCAAGGACCTTACACAGCTTATGGCTCCAGTGCAAGATACTTGTCTCGGTTGTAAATGGCGTCGGGGCATCGAGCAAACATGAGACGCCGGAGCTTCTCAAACTCGACGTCTTCGGAGCTACTGCCGACAACGTGGTCCCAGGCGGTCGCTTCGTCTTCGAGCGTGTACCCTCGATCCTTTGTAAAGAGGTTCGAGTGCCACAAGAGCACACGTAGCGTGCACGTCGTCGGCGAAGTCCGATCGAGGACGTACCTACATTGCATTTCGAACATAGCTCGCATCAAGCAGCTGCGTACCAGAAGGTGCGGTGGTGCCACACGTGGTTGTGGTCGATGCGGTCGTCGTCCTGGACACTGCCACCGACGAAGACGACACGGTTGGGTGTCCGGAACTCGCGGCTGAGAAACATATCTGTCTCGCCGTCGTCTTCCTTGGCGCCGCAGCGGTACAGGAGCGTCGGGTCCACTTGCGATAGGAGCTACGCATTTCTAGTGTTCAACTATCCCACGCGTATACATCCAAATACCTCGCAATCGACGAGCGAGTAAAAGTCAGGGAGACTGTCGCCTCGAAAGAGCGACTGGATCCGACCGGACAGCGCCGCGTCAGCCGCGTCGAGCGACAGTGGCAGCTCGCGCTGGATGCGCCAGTAGAGGTTAAACGTATCGTCGGGAAGCACTTGAACGTTAAAGTCCACAATGGGCCGGGAGTCCGCGCCCGGAAAGCCATACTGCGACAGCATGCGGTCCGTGTTGCAATACCACTGCGTCGTGATCCAGTCGACGCCCAGCTTGCGCGCGTTCTCATCTGCGAGCAGCGTCACGCGCGATATCGACGGCGTGCGGGCAATACCCTAGGCGTCATGTGAGCGATCATGGGACGGTCATGGCTCAGGCACCGATATGGCCGACGCGGTCACCCAGCGCGAGATGACCTGGGCGAGCCGAGCGCGGCGCGCGTGTATCGCGCGGAGGCGCAAGTTCTCTCGCGACGCGTCTTTAGTCGCAGAGGCAAAGACGGCGGCCACGTGCGACCAAGCGAGCGGCGGAGGGATCGCGAGCACGGCCGAGAGCTCGTCGATCTCGGCTTGTAGCTGCGCGCGGTCGGCCTGGTACCGCGCCCGGAACTTGCGCTGCTTGAGACGGTTCTTGAGGCGGTAGTCGGCGCGCGGGTCGTCCTCGAGGACGGTCGGCGCGAGGCTCTCGGCTTCGATCGCGTCCGTGTCTGGGACCATGATAGGTGTAATGAAGATTGATCGCCGCTGATTGGCCACGATTTTGAGGGTTGTTCCGGATTGGTCCATCGTGGATGCCACGTGCCAAATGCAGTCGGTGACGACCGACTAACTAGAGAAAGGCGACGTTCCGTGAAGGCAGCGACGAAATCTTCTTTGATCTACGAGCGAGTACCCCAGATCACGGTAGCGGTGCTGGTAGTGCGAGTGTTCCAGCAGCGCCATGCCCGAGCACGAGCTGTATATGGGTACGTTCCCAAAAGTCTGCACCATCGACCTCAACATGGCACAACGCTTGAACAGTACACGGTAGCAACAAATATGTGATGGCAACAGCGATGGTCAGATGCATCTGCGCAAGGTCTGATAGCTAACCGTGTATGTCGCGAACCCGGTACGAGCAAAACTAGAGAAACCTGCAGGTTGACCGCCTCCGACGACGCGACCGTCGACCGGCACCTCTGGTCTGCCAAGTCGATGCCACTCCAAACTCGGCTGGAGAGCGACGGCGTATCCGAATCAATCCTGCTTCCTTACCTTCGTCGTCACTGCAAAGCTCTTTGGCAAAGACAAGATATGAGATGAGAACATTGACTCTTTTCAAAATCAAATGTTATTTTGACTCGCTATTTACTTGGTCAAAGTGCGTGCAACAAGCACCATGCAGAGCAGCGCGAGCAGCATGAGACCCCAATTGAGGCCGAGCTGGAGCATCAAGCCCGCGCCGGCGACGTCGACCTTCCACGAGATGGCCCCGCCCGCGCTCTGGAAGGCCTTGTACAGCCCTACGATGCGCGCGAGCTCGGACGCGTCGTTGGTGAGCGCGCCAATCATCCAGTAGACATACGTCTGAAAGGTCGCGTCGAGGAAGCCGTAGAGCAGGTACACCACCATTGGGAACGCAGCATTTGCGTCAGTAAAGTCGAGCAGCGCTTGCGTCGACGTCCGCGTATACGTCGACTGGACGCCTGCGCCCAGCGCCCACGTGAGCACACAGAGCGCCGTGAGCACGTACAAGCCGACGCGGGCTCGTTTCGCTCGTGACCAAAACTCAACGTCGAGGAGTTTGGTGCCAAAGACGTATGCGCCGAGCATCTCCATTGCCCAGTAGAGAGCGTTGTTGAGGCCCCGCGTGCGGAGCGTAAAGAGCTTTCCGTTGACGTCGTTGAACTGGTAGGCGTAAAAGAAGTTCGAGTAAAACGCCGCGGGGAGCAAGCAGAGCACGCGCGGATCACGGAGCGCCGAGAGCAGACCGCGGAGCTCTATGAGCGGCGACGTAGCGGTCGTGGGGTACGCGACGAGCGAGTGGTCGGAGCGTGTGACGCGGTGCGGGCGCCGCAGCAATAGCGCTAGCAGCGCCCCGAGCACCATGATAGCCATAAAGCCAATGTACGTGGCGTCGTTCACGGTCGACGCGGTCGAGTGAAAGTTGCAGCCAAAGGGAATAAAGCCGCCGAGGACCCCGCCGAGGTTGAAGACGATCCAGAAGCTCGAGATGAACTTGCCTTTTTCGTGCTCGCTTGGGTACGCCAGCATCATGGCGCCTTGCGCGGTCCAGAGTAGCGATGCGCCCACACCGAGGAGGCCGCCTGCAAATACGACGAGCGTCGACGAGCCATGGACGTTGTAGTGGAGGAGCGACCCGACATAGAGCGCGTACGTGAGGCCGCCGAGGAGGATGCAGGGTTTGGGCCCGAGCAAGTTGTGCAATGAGCCCGCGACGAACGAGAAGAGTGCAAAGCACGCGTAGAGCGCAACGTTGGCGTTGGATGCGACCGACGTGTCGAGCTGGCCGCCGCCGCCGAGGCCGTTGAGCGCATTGAACATACCGGGGCACGCAAAGCAGATGACGCCTAGCAGCAAGATCTCTCGAAAGGCTGTGGCCCGGGGCGGCGGCGCCTCCAGTTCGAACGACGTGTGTTTGGGACTCTCGCTCATCATCTCGTGTTTGTCCAAGTATTTGCCTGTGATCGGCAATGGACGAGGAGGAAGCGAGGCCTGCGACAGACGGGACGTTACTGTTCCGAGTCCAAACAGCTGGTTGCCGTTACCCACTTCTTGGTGGCCGTCGATTCCGCGGCCATGGTCCCTCTTCCCTCTGTGCTGTTCTCTGAAGCAAACTTCTCGCGCTCGAACGCTGACCGAGGGAATATATGTACGAGCCCATAGTATCTCTGAGCTCTTGCCGGACTCGGCGCTCGATATGAGACTGCGAGCCTTGCCCATCGGCGGCGATTATCAATCCCATGGCACATTAGCGCCGTGCTGCGAGTCGGTCCTCCTAAGTTTGGGTGCGTGCTGTGTTTGTGGCTTCGACTCTCGCTCCGAGTCCGCTCAGCTGAGTAATGTTAGCCCTCATGCATAAAGATATCAGGGATGAGTTAACGCGTCCTATCAGGAATCGTGGTGTTGTTTAATCGAACCAAATGAAAGAAATGATGAAATGTTGCGATCTGGGCTGCTCTGAAAGAAGTATTTTTTCCTGCTCTGCGTCTCCGGAGAGAAGAGACAACACGGACATAGCACCGAATCGGGATGTTTTACGCGTTGTATTCATGCAGTCACTAGTGCGCGGTCTCTACGCGCTCGACGCTTGGTTTGGCGGGTGCTCGGCCGACGGCGGGATCGGTCCATCAAAGATTCGCTTGTACAAGTTGTACAAGAGGAGCACTAGACTCGCGTTCAGCATTCTCATTGTCTGCAATTTGCGTGTACCTTTGCTCTTGCCGTTCGTGTCATTCGTGGGCAAGCGCTCGCCAAAGAGCTCTAGTGCCAGCATATCAATACAAGCGAGCGTCTCGTGCGCGACGTACTTCGTTCGTCAATGAGCTCGTGCAGGCCATTGCCATGTCCACAGACGCATGGCATGGTGTTCTCGACGTGCTTGTTGTTGCCGCGATCGCGCGACCGCAGGTGCCGTGCAGGTGGCGCACACTCGGGTGCTGGCATCTACGAAAAGAGGCTGTCATGTCTGCATCTTATCGCCACGGGCGTATGTACCCGAGAGAGCTTGTAGAGTCCGCAACGACCGTCGCGACAGACGGTGCACTTGCCGCGAAGGTCGTTGTCGCCATCCCGGCGAAAGATGACTTGGCCCAGCACGTCTACAGAGTTGGAAGGTTGGATCCAAGCCGTGTCTATCGCCGTGGGCTACCGTAGGGCACACCGCGGAACGAGTGGTGGTCTAAAATCCGGTCGACGTTGTGGCGGGTGTACGCTGCACAGAGGTTGAGGAGCGACGGCGGCGAGAGCGGCCCAACGTGGATCGAGTAGAGGTCGTGAAGGCGGTCCGTGCCGTCGTAGCCACCGAGAAGGTACATGCGGTTCGTGACGACGACCGCGCGATGGAACGTGCGGCTGCTCGGCACGTACCCGCTCGTGTACACTTCGCTCCACGTGTTGGTCACTAGGCAGCGGACATTGCCACATTGACAATGCAAAGAGTGGGCGTACGGAGGTCCAAGCGCTGGAGGTCGTTGAAGCGCGAGTGGGCCTTGTCGACGCCGCCAAAGACAAACATGCTGTCTTCGTAAATGACCGCTGTGTGGCGATACCGGTGCGGCGGGCTCTTCCCCGTCGTCTTCATGACGGCCCACACGCCGGTCTCGAGGTGGAACTCGTACAAATCGTCCAGCGTGTCGCGGCCGTCCCAGCCGCCAAAGATGACGAGCCGCTTCGAGGCTTCGTGCACTGCGCCCGAGTGGCCGAATCGACCGGACGGGATCTGCCCCGTCGCGTCCATCTTGAGCCAGCGCTTCTCGAGGAGCTCGTAGCGGTACATGTTGTTGAAGCGGCTCGACCCGTTGTAGCCGCCGAAAATATATATATTCGACGCGTGCAGCACCATGATGTGGTCCGTGCGCGACTCGGGCTTGACGATCGAGAGGTTGGGCATCTCGCTCCACTTGCGCGTCTCTAGACGCATCCTTGTCAGCATCGCATGCAGTGCATCACCGTACCAAAGTTGAAGAAGAAGAGGTCGTTAAAGTAGTTGCCGTCCCGCCCATCGTAGCCGCCAAAGATGTACATGTTGTTCTCGTGGACGACGCCGAGCGCGCCCGACCGCCGAGGCGGCAGCGTTCCATTGACGTCCACCTGCGACCACATGCACGACTCTACAAGCATTTGTGTGAGCGGTGCATTCGCCGACGTGGCGTACCAATGTCGAACTGGAAGAGGTCTTGCTGCCTTCGCCGCCGGTCCGTGCCACCAAAGACATACAATGTCGCGCCTGCATCGCGTGAGCTCGCCGCCATGGCCATGCCCGCATGTACCGTAGGAGACGACGGTATGGCCTGTCCGCGGGCTGTAGCCTTCGCCGAGCGTCTCGATGCGCTCCCAGCGGCGCTCGTCTACCAGGCGCATGTGGCCATGAGGCCGCGCCTGCGGCAGGTCGACGTACCGATGTACTCGGGCTCGGGTTCGAAGAGCTGCATGTTCCTCTCCTAGGTCGACGGAAGCAAAGTGAATGGAGCGTCGGTCGCGGCTGCTTAACCTTCTTCGCCACGCGACGCCTGGAACAACTCGCCGGTTTCCCAGAACAAATCCGGATAAAGATCGCGCCCAACTTCGACGCTTCTACTTCGATGTCCTTTGCACGCGTGTTATGGAAGCCGTGCACGGCTGCGCATGGTGCGATGCGTACCCCGAGTGTCACCCTCATCGTGTGCATTGCTTCTTGCATTTGGATAGCGCCGAACTTGCGACGTACTGCGTGGAATATTGCGTCTTTCAGGATGCACTGTCTGAATGGACATGGGAAGCGCATAATGATGGCCATTGTTGAGGAACGACCTTGGCTCAATGAGATACAAGTTGTATCGAGAGCGAGCATCAGCTGTGCGTACCATGCGAGCGTGGATAAACCGACAAACAAGGAAAGCAAGGACAGTTGAAGGTCGTGGCCGCAGCTGCGAACTTCGCTATCCGGATAAAATAATCGCTCTAAGCTTCGAACTTTTGTTGGGGCGCTTGCAGTCTCGATGCTCACGGCGATGCCACGTCAGTTGTCTTTTGCGCGACGACCAACTACGCCCATCGAATGGCATGCGAGCTGCATCAAGGCGCTCTTCGCTAGGTGGTCGTCGTATCGTCGTCGTCGTCGGTGGTTTCGGGCGACCTTTCAGCTGCCACTGAGCCCGACCAATCTCGCCCGCATTCAATGCACTCGAATATAATGGTCGAGGACACTCATTCTCGCTGGTGCTGATACTGTACATGGGTTCAATGACCTCGATGCTCGATGCGTTCATCGAGACAAACACGTTTGCGGAACCGCAAGCGGTAACTCTAATAGTAATACACTGCGCAATTATTTCAGCGATACCTACAAGTGGGGTCGTTTCAAGCCGCGGAGGTACGCTTCGATTTCAGGCGTTCCTTCGTCCAGAGCCCGTGCGGTATACCCTTCTCGCCGAAAGGTCGCGAGGAACTTGACCATCTCAAAGTGGCCCATGCGCGCGGCACCGTCAATCGCCGCGGTCGTGCAGCCTTCGCGCCGGTGAACATGGAGGAATCGAACCACGTCCAAGTGGTTATGTCGCGCGGCCGTGTCCATGGCCGCCGTCGTGCAGCCCTCCATGCGGTTTTCGTGCAGATAAACCACGGTCGCCAAATTGCCGTTGGCCGCCGCGCCGTCCATTGCGCGAGCCGTCATGATGCCATTGCGGTGCTGTAGCAAAAGCTGCAGCATCTCCACCGAGCCGTGGGTTGCGACCATATCCAGTGTGTCGCGCTCGCATGCTTCGTCCGTGTTAACGAGGAGCCACGCCACAACCTGCAGACGCCCACGACAGGCGGCACGGTGCAAAAGCGGCTGCGATCGGTACGGCAAAAGCACGATGCTGAGCTCGTCCTGGCCCGCATCGATTGCACAAAGCAGGATTGCGTTATCGCGCGGCCAATGCGACAACGGAGCCTCGCCAAGGGACTCCAGCAGCTTCACGCGCCCATGTCGCACCGCGTGCTCGATGACCTTTTCGCGGTCGGCGAGGCGGCAAAGGCCCAAGAGAGAATAAACCGCACCCGTCTGCCCGGCGCGAACCGCTGCTTCGAGGACGCCATCGATGGGAAACGATCGAGACGCGACCTCACTACTTTGGTCGGAATCACACTGAGGATGCCAAGCTGCGTGCACAAAGTCAAGCACGTCGTGGAAGCCGGCAGCCGCCGCGTCCGCGAGCGCGCGCTCGTCGCACGCAAGCGGCATGTTCCTCGTCACGTGCTGGAGGACGTGGAGCTGCCCGGACGCAATGGCCGTGTCAAGCACGGACGGACGTACCGTCGTTCCATAGTCTTCTAGCAATGTCATCACGTCGATATTACCTCGGCACGCGGCCACATGCATCGCAGCGATGCGATCGGACTCATACGTCGTTTCAAGCAGCGCCTTGGTGAGAACGCAGTTGTTGTTGTACGCTGCCACCTCGAGCGCGCGCAGAATATAGTGCTTCGGCACTTCTGGGCTTCGATCGAGCACCGTTGCGAGCAGCGTTGGGTCTTGGACGTAGCTCGCATATACCAAAAGCGCACCAGCAACATCGTCATGCAGAAGCAGTCGGTGGACGCTTGTGACGGCCTGTGCACGTTGGAGGCACGGGATCCACGTAAAAAGGCGCGAGAAGGCGATGGCCGCGTCACCGTCGCATGCAAAGCCCTTCCACTGGGTAGCAAAGTGTAGCGCCGTTGCCGCGAGATGCGGACGGTACGGGAATGGCGCTCGGCGGAACGCACCGCCCTCGCGCAGCTGCGCGACGAGGCGCTGCGTGTCGTGGTCGTAACCGTCTTGGTACGCCGTGATGCGGCGGAGAAACGCAGCGGTTGCGACGACGCGCCTGGCCATGCTCGATCGAAAAGGCAAGTGCCAATGGTGTCGAGTTGGTTTGTGATGACGATTGCACGACCATCACTCTGATTCGTCGTTGGGTTGTTGACACAGTGTTTGAGACAGGATGTGAACCAGTGTTCACAGCCGTCGAGGCTCATAATGTTGCTGAGAACAAACGGTCTCGAGAAAGACTGCAACCCACAACAAATTCAAGTCGTTAGTTTTGGATCGATAGATATGATGACACCGACATGCGAGCAGCTCGTGCGCAAGAGCAATCGTGGTACTCGAAGTACAAACGCTGTATTAAACACCGTACTAGAAACACTGTATTCACGACGCCACGGATGTTAAGCAAGGTTGACAGAAGCTTGCACGCTCTAGTAGTAGACTTGACTCGATTGATTATAGTACATTACATAGATAGCCGATAGACATACTTGGGAGCGAGACTTGAGGTGTTACGATGCTTCGTACTCGAACGTAAAGAGTGCTGTCCAGGCGTCGTCGGGCATGGCCATATCGCACCGGCTAATGTCATGGAACCGTTGCTTTCGGACATGCTCGGGGCCGTCGCCGAGGTCGCGCTTGAGCACTGCGGCCTCTTCTGCCCACGTCACGGGCTTCTTATTGGATAAGAAGGACGAAATCGTCCAGACAACCCGGAGCCGCGTGCGGTTGGGGCCAACTGGTTCGAGTACATGCCTAGTTGGCGGTATCAGCGCACCGATGCATGCAAGAGAGGGATACCAAAACATGCGGTTGCGCAGGTAGTGGCTCTCGGGGAGGAGTGCGTCTTCGTGAATGTTGCCCGACACAAATATAATGCGATCGCTGGTGGCGTCGGCCGGAAATTCTCGTGTGAGGAGCACATCGGTACGCTTCTCGGAGAGCACGACCCGCCGGTACATCATCTTGCTTGGCGCGACTTGATCCAAAAGCTACAAGATCGTATAGATATAGGAATGCGGCAGGGTTGATTGGTGTATACCTCTTGGTCGAGCATTTCAATGGGAAACGGCGACGTGTCGGAGCGCAGCTTTTTCCAAATCGGCAAGCGGATGCCGGCGTATACGTCTTGTATCGGCAGCTCGTACTCGTGCTGGTAGCTCCAGACAAAATGGAAGATTTCGTCGTCGCCTTCGACGACATGAAGGCAGTTGGTACCGCCACTCGGGGGAAAGTTGCACTGGGCAAAGAACCCGTCCATATTGTTGCGCAGGTGGAGAGTGTACCAGTCGAATCCCATCTTGCGCGACGCTCGGTCCGCCGACAAGCTCGTGCGACTCCAGCCGAGCGACTCTGGCAGCATCGACTAGCATGTTTTAGCCGCAGCGATGGCGCGCAAGGAGTACCTGGATCGAAGGCTGCGTCATTGAAGCGACCCATTTGGTCATTGTAGCGATGATCTGGTCCATCTCGTAGCGCTTGTCCTTGAGCGCACGGTTGGAGGCGCTGGCTTCGTCGCGCGCGGCCGCCAGCGCCGAGCAGACGTCGTCCCAGCCCAAGGGCGCCGTGAGCTTGTGGACGGTGATGATGGTCTGAAGGCGCGTCGCCTGGTCGATGAGGTCTTCCTTGGTCGCCACAAGTCGCTTCCGGTACCGCTGGACCTTGGCCGTGTTGCGCAGCGTGCGGGACGTCTGGGGCTCGGCCATGCTGTCTGCGAAATTGCGAATTTACCCGTGTGCCCGTACCACGGGTGACCAACACTCCAGTATACGGTGTAAAGGCCGATTGACGTCAAACCGATTAACGTGATAGCTAAACCATTCGGTTAAACAGAGCACAGTCCAGAGACGCCACATCGAGTCATCGAGGTGTGTATCTACATCTTTGCCGATTGGATTCGGACGTCACGTACATAGAGACGCGATATACCATTGCACGTCTTGGATGCTACGACGGTAATTGCGCAGTCGAGCAGGAGTGTATGCAAGCACCGAAATGTAGCAGCACGTGAGACTGGTTCGTATCGAAACCCTGGTGTACATGTAGTTTAAACCTGTTTGACGCACACTACGTACCATCTGCTCCTTGAACCCATCTCGAGTGTCCGGGCTGCCGTGCCACAGCACCCTTTGCACATTCTACGAGTAGCAGACCTGACGATACTGGTACTACATGTGTTGGATCGACTATTGTCTTCCTGATCGATGCTAGTCAGTGGATGCTAGGAGTGCCATCGAACGGCATCGTCAGGTGTCGAATGATATTTGGTGGTTGCGTGGTGCACCAGTAAACCGGTGCTTGAGAGTGTGAACCGCTGGCTGCACTTGGCCGTTTCTGGTCTGGATATGCTGACTCAATTCTGGGGTTGGTGGCAGGTGCGTTATTTCTAGGTCGTTCTTCTAGCCTTATTAGTCTCGTGGTACAGCTCTGTACGGTTGGCGTCTTCGAGATCGCGCTTGAGATCATCTCGACGTTCCCAATTCACATTGCTTGTCGTGACTTATCTCAACCCGTGTCTCACTCATCAAAGCAAGAACGAATGCGCACGTTCCACGCCCAGGAACCCAAGTCGATGGACGGGCGTTTGGCGTTTGTGGTTGACGTCGACCGATTTCTTTGCCACTTGATTGAGCCCACCAATATATTGAAGCAAGGACGAGAGAGGACAAGAACGTTGCCGGGAAAATGTATGAATGTGTGTTCAAGCCAGGGCCCCAAGCACATAGTGCTGTATCAGTAACCAAATAAGTGCTAAGCCGAGAGCAGCGACGCGCTGCACCAACTTATAAGTGTTAACGCTTGTGTGTAGTCATTTATTACGGGTAGCCGGTAATCAGAGCTGAATTGGACAATGTAGAAATGGATCGAGAGCTCGAATCGACAGCCGGTTCCCAATTGGAATCTGTGGAAGTCGACTGTCGTCTTGATGCGCCGACGTCGTTGCGCACGGCACCTCTCCATGACCGTCCGTAGCGTGCTCCTGCCTGCGACCAGTTCATTTTGTGAGGTGATACATAAAGGTATCTCAGGTGGTCGCGTGCCTCTTTGCTTTGTGCACATGACCGCTGAATGTTGAAGTTGCATGTCGGTATGTGTTATCGCACCGGATGGTGCCGGATACGAGTCCGACAAGAATAGAAATACCTTAAATCAGACCACGTTCCCGTGACCGCTTTTACATACGACGCTACTATTGCCATATAAATACTAGGTTTAAAATGCATCCAGTCCTTTCTGCGCGGTCACTGGACGGCGGTACGAACAAATGCTGCTGCCAATTTGCAATCACATGCGTCGGCCCGTGGACCCCGCCGAGCGCAAGCGCCGGAAGCGCATCTACAACCGCCAGAAGCAGCAGATCTACCGCCAGAACACGCTCGACGAGATCCGCGCGCTGCAGGCGCTCGTGCCCGAGCTCGAGACGCAGCTCCACGCACTGCTTCAGCAGCGCCCACCCTCGACCTGCTTACCGTGGCGCGACGTGGCCTTAGCACTGCACGACGGCACGGAAACTAGCCACGCCGACAATGCAGAGCTTATAGTCAAGAAGTCGACCAACCGTGCGCTTCTGAGCGCAATGGTCACGTGGGTCGCGACGCAGCGCGGCCTTGCGGTAGCTGCACGCTCGTAGACGAAAGCTCATGCATCTCGTGGTAGGCGATACCACAATGTTCGACGCCGTCGTGGCGCCATGTGACGCTTCTCGCAGCGCTAGACGCACGGAAACTGGGCGTCGACTGGATCACGCAGCACGTCTTACACAACACAGACCGGATCCTCGCCCAGTACAGGCTGCCCGACAGCGCCGACGTCCCTGGCGCACTCCACCTCGAAGGCATACAAAACGAGTGCATGCAGTACACGATCGTGGACCAGAAGACGTACACGGCGTCGCTCACGGCGCACGCGGCGTTTGTCCGCGCCAAGCTCTCGGGCTGGCTGCACGGCAACCTTGTGGGCCATCGCGATGCCCTCGACCTCCTCGACGCCACAGTACGTTGTCGTCGCTTTGCTTTCAGTCCATCCCATGCGTGTATAGCTCGTCCACGATGTTGACCCGCGGCTGCTCTACATCCACAGCCAGAGCGTTGCGCAGGGCTCGAGCTACTATATGCTCTTCCGCGAGTGCCATGTATCGGAGTCGCGCGTCGTCTTTGTCGGGCAAAACATCCACGACGACGAAGCGCTGCCGATGCAAGCGCTCACTTGCAATCGCACGTTTTGGTACGTCGACTTGGCGGATAAAACCTCTCTCAAGAGCGCGTAGGGTGGTGCTGGACCGACGCGACGACGGCCGCGTCACACAGCGCATGGTGCTGCAGCGGTCACAACACTTTACAAAAAATGGGTTTGTGTCGCTCGACGAAGAGGCGCAACTGTGGGGCTGCGACCTTCGCAGCTGTACGACCGACGACCAGAAAGCAGCGCGCTTCCAGAGGGATCTCACAGCGCTCCAGACGAAAATGCACCGATCGGCGTGGGGCCACCCCGTGCAGTTGATAGCGTCGCCCTAATGCAATCTCGATGTGTTGTTGACTATGAGAACGTGGCTTCCGGGGCTCCTGAATACCTTCTTCTGTCCAACGCCAGTGAACGTCCTCGTCATCATGTGTTAATGAATGCTCTGCTAGCACTAGCGTGGGAAGCGGTGTAGTTGCCGTCGACTCTCTGGAGCGCATTAGGGTAGTGCCGAGTGTCGGCTGAGAAGAGGCCGTTTGGATCTTGTCACCAATGCCTGCAGCCTCGAGAGATATGCATGTATGACATTTCAAGTCCTTGAAGTGATATCTGACATGTTGGTCAGCACAAAGCCTTCGATCAGGGGCTCTTCGTAAGCTGTTGACACGCACTGGAGACTTCGTTCCACCATGAACTTGATCCCACTAACGCTTTGAAGAGCCATGAAAGTTGATGCCGAGGTTAGAGTCTTCCTTTACGACTCATAAAGGAGGACTATTACTGTCAACAGTAGTAATTATGAGGTTGACAGTTGACATCAAGGGCTCATTCAGGTTATCGGCGTTGGTTGTCTTGGACGGCTAGCTAACTATTCCAGCTCGCTACACGAGCATCTCGCCCGAGTCGGGCGGGTATCATACTCTAGAATCCATATCCTGGGCGTCGTTTGCATCCATTTTGCAGCCGCATACGGGCTTCTCTTTGGCACCACACCAGGCACTCGACCCGAAGATGGTTGACAACCGCAGCTCTAGAACAAAGACGAAAGGACAGCGGTTCCTAGGTACGTGTATGTCAGGACGTGTTGAGACACATGGGAATGTTGCATTATCATCCTCAGCCAGCACCTTCCCGCATCGTGTATAACGGGGTGCGCAGAAGCACAGGTTGATGTGTAATATCAGATCCGGCGCAGTGACCATGATACGATGGTACACTCGGCAAACTGCGACTGAAGGATGCTGTGCTGGCCATCAATACCACTGCGCCCAGTCTTGCATTATGCAGCCGGGATGGCAACAGTCCCACGCCGCACGTACGTTGACGAACCAAGCGCTTCTGCAGAACGTATTCACATCGTTCGGACGTCGGTGGAGTGGCAAAATGCACCTTGTAATGCCACCGAGCAAACGGAATCATCAGACATTGCCTTCCGCGGTCCCGTTCGTTGTGACGTGGCGCGCGTGGGACAGGTCCAGTCCATGAAGGCATTTCTCCCATATGTCTCAAATAATGTAAATGGACCTATAGTATCTCAATTTCGAGAAGCAAGTATGATCATTTTATCTGTAGTGAGACATTAATGGGAATATCGACGTCTCGCACCGTGGCTTCGCGGAATCTGGTGTGGAAACAGCTTGGCATTCGAAGAACCGGCCATCAACCTCCGCCTGAGCCCAACGCATGGAGAACCTCTGCCACGCGCTCGAGCCATTCGTGATTCGCCCCGCTTTCCTTCAGGCACAATGGGCATGCTCCGTGTGCTGCTAGCCTCTCTCGGGCTCGTCCATGCGGCCTCGGTCTGCGACCTCCCGGCGTTCCAGGCCATACCGATGACGACGCTTGGCACCGGCCCGCTTACGATGAAGGCCATCACAAACGGAACGGACTCGTGCTTCCAGGTGAGCGTGCCTGCCTCGGCGTCCGTGGCGTGGGCCTCGATCGCCATTGCGTCCAGCCCAAAGATGGTCACCTCGCCGATCGGCAATGTCGTCATCTACGATGCAAACGCGCCGGCGCCGCAGCTCTACGAGATGTTGAGCTACAAGAAGGCGGGCACCGTCCTCGCTACCGACCAGTCGCCGGTCGTCGCCAAGGCCGCGTCGGTCGTCAACGGCGCCATGACGTTCATCTTTGAGCGGTCCAATGGTGTCAAGATTGCTTCGGATGTGGCGATCGTCCCGGACGCGTACAGCACCATCAACTGGGCATACGGTTTGACCAAGTGGCCGTCCATGCACGAAGGCCGCGGGTCAGCGCAGGTCGCCATCAAGGCGGCGGCGGCCTCGGTCTGCGAGTCGCCAGCATTCGCCGCGGCGCCGCTCGCGACGTTGGGTAGCGGCCCGATGCAGATCAAGGCGCTTACTGACGGCACAGACACGTGCTTTGAAGTGAGCATGCCGGCGAGTACGCCCGCATCTTGGATCGCGATTGCAATTGCTTCGTCCAGTGCCATGGTCACGTCACCAATCGGCAACACCGTCATTTACGACAGCACGGCCAAAGCGCCGCAGCTGTACGAGATGATGAGCTACAAGAAGGCGGGCACCGTGCTCGCCAAGGACCAGTCGCCGCTCAATGTCGTCTCGGCGTCGGCGGTCAATGGCGCGCTCACATACACGTTCCTGCGTCCCAACGCCGTCAAGATTGCGTCGGACGTGGCCGTCCTGCCGGATGCGTACAACATCATCAACTGGGCGTACGGCACGGCGCAGTGGCCATCGATGCATCAAGGCCGCGGCTCGGCCAACGTTGTCGTCAAGTCGGTCACGGCCTCCAACGCGGGCGGCAACTCGCTGCCGACGATCGACAATGCGTCGGCGTCGCTGCGCGTCATTACGTACACGGACGTGATCACAGCGGTCGCCTTCATGGTAATGCTCCTCCTCGGAGTCATCGTGACGCACGTCGGGCGTTGGCACATTCTCAACCACAGCTCCGTGTGTGCGCCGCCGACATCCGGCTATTGCATGGGCTTTCGAACGACCTTGGCCGACCTCAAGCTCGGCGAATGCATCGTGCTCATCGTGTACCTCCTCACGCTGTGCGTGGTGTCGTTCTCGGTGCACGTCAAGTTCGCGAACGCGCTGCCCGGCCAAAGCCTCGTGTTGGTGACCGGCCATCTCGGGCTCGTGAACCTCATGCTCATTCTGCTGCCTGTCGCGCGCGGCCAGCACTGGGAGATCGTCTTTGGCATCTCGCACGAGCGCATTCTCAAGTTCCACAAAGGCCTCGGCCGGTCGTTTGTGCTCTTGTGCGCCCTGCACTTTGCGCTGAGCTTGAACCAAGGCGGGAGCGCCACGTACGCCGAGCCGTACGGCACCCAAGAGGCGATCCCGCTCTACGGCTTTGTATCGTTCATTGCGTTTGCGTCCATGGGGCTGCTGGCGTTTGAGAAGCTCCGACGCCAGTACTATGAAGTGTTTTACTGGCACCACCGCGCGTCGGCGGTCGTGGGCCTCGTCTTTGCTGTCCTGCACGCACCCGCGATTCTGATTGCGATGCTGTTCCCGCTGGTCGTCTACGTGCTCAATAGCCTCTGGCGCTTTGCCGCGTACTTTGCGTCGCACGCGGCGACGCTCGAGACGCACAGCGATGGCACGACCGTGATCACGCTCGCGTCAACGCTCAAAACAGCCAAGTACGCGCAGACAATGAACACGTGCGCGTTCTTCTACCTCAACATTCCGACGCTTTCCGGCGTCCAGTGGCATCCGTTCTCTGCGATCGCGACACCCGACGGCAGCTCGATCGGCTTTTGCGTCAAGGCGCTCTCCAAAGGGTCGTTTGTCGACGCGGTGCACGTCCGAGCGCGCGGCGCCCTCGAGGTCGACCCGGCTCTGGCGCATATTCGCGTCCGCGTCGAAGGGCCGTACGGCAAGGCGTCGGTGCTGTTGCACCAGTACGATGTCGTCGTCTTGGTGGCGGGCGGGATCGGCGTCACACCGATGCTCAACATTATCAACCAAGACCGGCACAAGCGCTTGAGCAAGCCGACGCAGCGCCTCGTGTTCCACTGGATCGTCCGCGAACCGCACCAGCTTCTCTGCGCCGACCCGCTCATGTACCCGTTGCCGTCGCACGTCGAGTCCCATTTTGTCGTGACGTCGGCGAGCGCGAGCGGGGGCATCCTCAACATGGCTGGCGAGTCGGTGGCCTACAGCAGCGAGAAGCCGCGTATGGACGAGATCATCAACCGCGAACGCTATAGTCGCCGCCGTGTGTGTATCTTGGCGTGTGGCCCGCTGGGGCTGGTCAAGGACGCACAGATCCAGGCTGACGCGTGCGGGTTTGATTTCCACAAGGAAGTGTTTTTGTTTTAAGTTATTTACGCTCCATAAAGCTATACAAAATATCACATGTATTGGACTATACAAGGAAATGTCCACTTTTTTTTGCAAGCTGAAGAATTTCGCTACCACGATGGATGATACTGTCGATGCATCGCAACATAAGCAGCGAGACACCGCGAGGAGGCATGTTGCAGCAGAGACGCCACCAAGAGCAATGGGACTGCGAGCTGCCACCAAGAGGGAATATAAAAAAAATAAAAAATACTTGACACCAAACTGACACCATCGTTCGCGTCGAGAGCAAGAATGGATTTGTGCAGAAGCACCCGATTCCACACGTGGTCGTGCAGCACCAGCCGAACCTGCATTCTGCAACGTCGTGGGAGGTGATGCCATCTGCCGAACGAGACCATCCAGCCACCCCTAACCGCCCCCATTTCCGAGTTGAAAGTTGGCATGTGCGCCCACGTTCCTCGGGCTGACTGCCTCCAGACCGTCATATCGCGTTGGTGTTTATTCGAAAGCAGTGCAACGACGGACGTGGCGTCATCGTTCGATGAGGCACTCGTGTCGGTGGTACAGACATCTGATGTGTTGACGGTCGAGAGCTCTGGACCGTACACGCAAACTGCCTCCATCGGGCGAATCGAAACGAATCACGCACTGTGCATTTTGACTTTGGCAGCATGCTGGGTGCAGTGCTCTTTGTTGCGCTGACCCTGATTCGCCGCGTGTACGGCGACGACGCCGGGTGCACGTCGCCAGCATTTCTCGCCGTGCCGCTCGTGCCGTTAGATACGTCTCTCTCCATGCGCAGCCTCGTCGTCGACAGCGCCAGCGTCTGCATTCAGCTCATCTTGAAGGCGCCGGCGTCGTGGGTCTCGGTTGCCCTCTCCTCCTCTCCGTCCATGGTCACGTCGCCGTTCACGCGCGCTGTTGTCTTTGACACGAGCTTTGCGCAACCCAAAGTATTTGCGATGCAAGGGTACGCGCCGAGCCAAATGGTCGCGGCACCGACGCCGTCGATCTCGCTGCTGAGCGCGTTGTCGGCCAACGATGTGGTCTCGCTGACGTTCCGACGTCCGCTCGTCTTTTCTTACGAAGGCGACGTCACCATTCACGTCGACAATGGCAACTCCAACATTCTCAACTGGGCGTACGCCTCATCTCCGTGGCCGGCGATCCATAGCGCAAGGGGCTCGGCCACTGTCAAGTTTACGACCAAAGCCGAGGCGCCGAGCACAGTTGTGACCACCGAGTCGGCTCTGCGGTTGACACCCGACACGACGGTCGTCACGGTCGCTTCCGTCATCTCGATGATCATGCTCGGGCTTATAGCGACACATTTTGGCAATTGGCGCTGGGTGAACCATCGGGGCTTGTTGCCGCCGCCTCGACGCCGCTCGATGCTGACCGCACTACTGATGCCGCTTGTCGACTTGAAGGTGGGCGAGGGTATCATTGTGCTCATCTACTTGGCGTGTCTCGTGCTCGTCTCGTCGTCGGTCCACGCCAACTTTGCCGACGCGCCGTCGCTTCGTCGGTGGAGCCTCGCGTCTGGGCACCTCTGCCTCGTGCACATCATGTTGCTGCTGCTCCCGGTTGCCCGCGGCCAGCACTGGGAAGTCTTCTTTGGCATTTCTCATGAGCGCATCCTCAAGTTTCACCGGTGGCTCGGCCGGCTCAGCATACTCTTTGGCGTCTGGCACCTCTTGGCCTCGACGCAGAACGGGGCGTCCATCACAGCGGCCGGTCCGTTTGGTTCGCAGCAAGTGTCGCCTGTGAATGGCTTTGGTGCACTCGTCGTGTTTGCGACGCTGGGACTCTCGGCGATGTTGCGTCGCCGGTTCTACGCCCTCTTTTACTACTACCACCGAATCGCGTCGATCGTTGGATTGGTGCTCCTGCTTTTGCATGCGACTGCAGTGCGCTACGCGCTCATCTTCCCCCTTGGCATCTACCTCTTGAGCGGCCTCGGGCGGCTGCGCGGCTTGTACCTCAACAAGTTCCATGCATCGATCCACGTCCATGGACAAAACACGGTGACGTTTGAGCTCCCGGCCACCGAGACGACGCGGGCGTGGGCCGACCGGCTCCACGCCGGTGCCTTCTTTTACATCAACATCCCGAGCATCTCGGCGGTTGCGTGGCATCCGTTCTCGGCGATCGTGACGCCGGACGGCGACTCGATCGGGTTTTGCATGAAGTCGTTTACAAAAGGGCGGTTCGTCGACGCTGTTTGGGTCCGCGCCCACCAAACGCTTCAAGACAATGCGTTCTTCGTCCTCGACAGCCACCAGTCGGCGCCGTCGATGCTTGTTCGCGTCGAGGGCCCGTACGGCCGCGCCAGCGTCAATGTCGACAAGTACGACGCCGCGGTGCTCATCTGTGGCGGCAGCGGCATCACGCCGATGCTGAGCCTCATCAACATGGAGCGCCGACGCTCGGACGGCCCTAAGCTCTTTTTACACTGGGTCGTCAAGGACCCCAATGACCTCCTCTGCGTCGACAAGCTCATGTTTCCGCTGCCGTCCAACGTCAGCGCCAAGTTTTACGCCGGACCGACACCCGGTGGCATCCGCAGCAAGAGCGGGACGACGGTCAGCTATGGGAAAGGCCGGCCTGTCATTGACGAGGTCCTCAACAACGAGAAATTCGCCGGCAAGCGCGTGTGCGTCTTGGCGTGTGGCCCGCCGAGTCTTGTCGCCGATGTACAGTACCAAGCGCACCGCTGCGGCTTTGACTTTCACAAGGAAGTCTTTTTGTTTTAATACATTATGGTATATTAATCGCGATGAAAAATGAAAAGGTACATATATCTCGTATCCCCAACCCTCTTGCAACGTCGACACACTTGAATCACACCGTTGCAACGGCAAACTCGCGGAACGTTCTTTGCTCGTGGCGAGTCGCTGGATCTTCTAATTCACAGTACACCACCAATCGACGCCCACCGAAGAAGTGCTCGCTGAGATGGTAGCATGGTTGAGAGCGACGCTGCTACTTGCCGCCACGCCGGTCGTCGTCGCCACCATGTCGGACTGCACACCTGAGGCTTTGACCAACGTCAAGAGCGTGGCCATGGGCCCGATGGTGCTCAAGGCCAAGCTGCTTGCAAACGTCGCCTGCTTCCAAGTGATCTTGACCGAACGAGCCGCCCCGTGGATCGCCGTGGCCGTGGCCGCATCGCCCGTGATGGTGAACGCGCCCACAAGTTCTGCGGTGGTCTTCGACACAACGACCCTACTACCGCTCTTGTACGTCTTGAAGGGCTATGAAGTCGCCGACGTCGTGTTGCAGAAAGACCAGTCGTCCATCTCGGTGATCGCAGCGTCGGCCACCCCCCAGCGGATCTCGTTTATCTTTGCGCGACCCATGTCGGCTCAAACGCCCACGGACGTGGCCATTGTACCTGGCGTGCCCAGCACGCTTTTATGGGCGGTCGGCGACCACGCATGGCCGTCGCACCACATCGAGCGGGGCATCGTCCACGTCACGATTCCGTCGAGCGACTCGAGTGGGTCGGGTTCGAGCAGCGCTGTCTCGACGTTTGTGACATCCTACACCGTTCTGATCGTTCTCTCAGCCTTTCTTTGCATTGTGCTCTTGGGGTTTGCGGCCACAGGGTGGCCTTGCGCCTTTGTGGGACAACCGCTCTGCCGCCCACCCAAGCCAACACGGACGGCGCCGTTGCGCCGGGTGCTCGCCGACGTCAGTATCGGCAACGCCATCGTCGTCAGCGTGTATGTCATGAGCCTCCTTGTCGTCGGTGTCGTCGTTGTCCACCAGTTTGGCGCCGATGCGACGGGGGCGCGCCGTCTATCTCTAGTCTCGGGGCACTTGGCCCTCGTCTCGCTCATGTGGCTGCTACTGCCCATTGCGCGAGGTTACCACTGGGAGCTCATTTTCGGCATCTCCCACGAACGTGTTCTCAAGTTCCATCGGTGGTTGGGACTGCTTGTGACGTTGACGGCGGCGCTGCACTTGGCCGTCAACGCCAACCGGGGCATCGACGTGCTCAGTCGCGCTGTCTACGGAACGCAGGAGGTCGTCCCTCTCTACGGCTTTGTTGCGTTCGTCGCTTTTTCTTCGATAGCGCTTCTCGGGATGCTCGAGCCGCTGCGTCGGACCATGTACGAGGTGTTTTACCTTCACCACCGAACCTTTTCGATCATCGGGCTCGTCTGCGTCCTGCTCCACAGCAGCACGGTGGCCTATAGCCTCGCGCTGCCGCTAGCGCTCTACGTCTGGACCTTGCTGCTGCGGAGTCGTGCCTACTGGACAAGTGCGGACGCAACGGTGTGCGACGCCTCGGAGAGCCGCCGCACCGTGGTACTTATGCTACCGTTTACACCGACCACCAAGCAGTTTGCAGCAACGATGCCGCCCGGTGCGTACTTTTTTCTACAAGTGCCCAGCGTCTCGGGCGTCGAGTGGCATCCGTTCTCGGCTATCGTGACGCCGGATGGCAACTCGATCGGGTTTTGCCTCAAAGCGTCATCCCCTCATTCGTTTGTGCACAAAGTACTTTGCAGTAACACGCGCGTCCTTGGCCTTCGACTGGGCGGTCCCTACGGCCGCATCGCGCTCAACTGGAATGCTCTGGACGTTGTTGTTTTGATTGCCGGTGGCATTGGCATTACACCGCTTCTCAACATCATCAACCAACGCCGCCAGAAAGCCAAGGCCCGCACGAGCCTGCGCGCGCCGCAGCTCGTCTTGCACTGGATTGTGCCAACGCCCGACGACCTCCTCTGCGCCGACCGACTCATGTTTCCGATGCTGCCGGACGTCCAGTGCCACTGCTATGCCACACGCGCGACTGCCGACGGTGTCGTAACGAGCGCCTACGGCGGTGACGTGGCGTACGTGGCCAAGCGCCCTGTGCTGCAGGACGTCCTCGTACTCGATCCGTTCGAGTCGCCGCGCGTCGGCGTCGTTGCGTGCGGACCCCAATCACTCGTCGACGAAGCGCAGTACGAAGCGGCATTGCGGGGCTTTTGCTTTCACAAGGAGCTCTTCGCCCTCGCGTGAGATGCACCCACGGAGTGGCTTCCTCACATTCCCTGGAAGCGTGCCAGCTGTTTGTTTGTGGTCAACAAAGAGCGTTTTACAAAAGTACGTTCTCTGGGCAGAAGTTGGGCTTGACGGCAACTCGCTCGAGGAGCCTCAGCGGACCTCTGTGTCAAATCGGGAAGGGTATCTAAACCATGATCCTTTGGAGCCGCGAGGCAGAAGCTGAGGCATCGTGCCTTTGACGTCAACCAGATGTTCCGACTCTGCGTGAAAGGACAACCGTTACGAAATTGCCTAGAATAGTCGCAGTGGGGTGGACCCTTCCTGGCTTGTGCTCATGACGGACGAGCTTCTCACGTGTCAACATTACTGAGGAAGCAATCTGTGGCCTTGAACGCGTGGCAAGGTTATCAAAACTCGATTAAGGCACCTCCGAGGCTGGGGCTTCCAGAGGCCTGGGCTCGTGGCCTTCTTCCGGCGTCGTCCTTTCTCAAAAACCGCAAATTGATGACGTATTGCTGTGTTGCTACTAAACTAGCGTAATTTGATCTATATTTGCTGTCCCACCATGTCCAGGGGCCAGTGGGGTCTGGCCCGAAATATGACGTTTCGGCAAACCCATAAAAAGGTAAACGCGTTAAACGTAGTAGCGTTAGGTTAAATACCCCACCAACCTGCTTGACGGAAAGACACCCTCTCGATACCTAGACGCCAGCCAAAGGAATGCAGCATGGCTACCGGTATCTTTGGAGGCCTTTGCTCGCGACGCTGGAATACACGTGAGTGGCACTCGACACAGTGGGACCTACTCGGGTAATGGTGTATGCGCTCGCTCCGACCACAAGCCGGCGTTCGCTTTCGTCGTCGGTGCTACACGAGCAAATTAGGCAAACCATGATGCGAAGCATTGTCGTCTCTTGGCGCCGACACCACATTAAGATCGCTACGGCGTCCAACGATTCACGCAGTTTAACGCCAGGGTAAACGCGTCGTACCAGCAGGAAACGGACGTGGCAGATCTCACTCGGTCGCAGAAGCCATGCAGCGTCGGACCGACCGTCGAGTCACACGGCGCTGAAGTCAACCGGCGCCGATTTTTCATTTCAGACCTTACCATGCGCTCCGCACTCGGCATCGGCATCCTGGCAACGTTGGTGGCAACGGCTACCGCGGCGCTCAACGCCACGATCTGCGAGTCGCTCGACTTTGCAAATGCACCGGTCATTGCCATGGGCCGCACGCCCATGACCCTCAAGAGCCTTGTGCAAGGCGACGCTGTCTGCTTCCAAGTGACGCTCGCCGACGCCTCGGCCAAGTGGGTCTCGATCGCGATCTCACCCACCGCCAAGATGGTCAACGAGCCTATCAACAACGTCGTCGTCTACGACGTGACGCTACCACCCGCGTTGCTCTACACGATGCGCGGGTATGAAAAGCACGACACGCTACCGCTGGCCGACCAGTCGCCGCTGCTCGTGTCGCAGTCGAGCAGCGTCAACGGCGTCATCACGCTGACATTCCAGCGCAAGCTCGCGGCGGTGGTCAGTTCGGACGTGGCCATTGACCCGACTGGCGTCACGATTCTGACGTGGGCGTACGGCACCGATATGTTTCCATCGACGCACCAGTACTGCGGCGCTCTCGAGCTCACGCTCAACGCGGCCCACAACGGTGATGGCCCACTGCAGACGCTGTACGCGGGTGTCATTGCCGCTGGCATTCTTGCGACGATGCTGGTGCTCGGCCTGATCGCAACGCACTTTGGTCGCTTCCGCCTCATCAACTACACGACGCTGTGTGCGCC